ATGATGTGTTGCGTGTGCCATGTGCAGTCATACACATGTGCCAAAGCATGTTCCTTAACCAGCCGCACAGATACGGCTATGTGACCAATTCCAAGGTGAAGTTTGTCATGGTGGTGGATTCCTCCAATACGGCCCTTCGAGACAATGAGATCCGCAGTGTAAGTGTGTGTGTTGGGGGGCGGGGTTGGTGTTTGCCCCTTTCCTTTCCTCAATGTGAATGCAAAAGTCTCCAGCAGCCCCAAGTATGTGCTCAGTTAAAGTACTTCCGGTTCTTTCAGATGTTCCGGAAGCTGCATAACTCCTACACAGATGTGATGTGCAACCCCTTCTACAACCCTGGAGACCGTATCCAGTCGAGGTGTGTGAATCATGTGTGCGTGTGTGTGTGTGTGGGGGCTACCTTTGATAGCATTGTCATTAGGAAGGTAAGGGAGCCATGAGTACTGTCCTAAGGTCACTATCTCAAAGCAGCCAGCCCCATTTGTCTAAATTAGTGCTGACACAGGCCTTTAGTGTGCTCAGGCAGATTGGACCAAGGCTCACTCATCTGGTCTCCCAGGTGTGTCTATGGGTACCCAGGGACCTTTAGAAGGCTCCGCAAGGACTCATGCTGTGGCCTTAGCCTTTACAGGGCAATGTCCTCCCATTGTAGCTTGGTGTGACTTCTGTGTTGGGCTTGGGTGTCTCCCCTCCTGCTGGATGGGCCTCATGCGGGTGCTTCATGAGGAGGTGTGGACTTTATATGCAGGCACTACAAACCTGCTTCCAGAATTCTCCTTTTCTAGGACTGTACCCAAGGAGCTCCTTTCAATTGACAGGTGGCTCAAGCTAGGCCTTTCGCTGACACCTTTCTTTGGCTGAGACATCGCATGCTTTGGGTCCACCTAGGTCCTAAGAGCAAGCACACAGGTGTCCCTGAGCGGTACAGGGCAAAGAAAGCACCACCTGCTCATGGGGCTTATTGCTTACCCCTGCCCACACCCTGTGGGCCTTAGCCCAGGAGACGTGCTAGGGAAAAATCTATGGAAGAGTGGGCCTGTGGGGGCTGTGCAGGAACTGTAGAGTCAGGAGGGGGGTGTCACAGCCCGACATGGTTGGTATGCTTCCCTGGACAAACACCCAGTCCTGAGGGCTTATCTGGTGGGGCAGTGCCAGTCTCTACCAGCAGAGGGCAGGGCCAAAGCCTGTCCTGCTCTAAATCTGGGTTCTCTTCTCAGGGCCTTTGATAACATGGTAACTTCCATGATGATCCAGGTCTGCTGAGCGGGACCTCTGCCCCAGTCACCTGGAAGAGAAGCCTGTATTCACCTGTGTTTGATGCTTATTTATTCCCTTTCCTCTCCCTGAGTGTAACCTGTGGGCAGGGCTGTGTGTCCTGTGCCTGTCTACTAAAGGCCTCACAAGGTGCAATCTATTCTGTCCTTCTGTATTGGTAGAGAGGGCTCAGCTGAGGACCTGCTAGCTGGTCTCAGAGGCTCTGGAGCAATGTAGGAGTTGTGACCATAACCAGTGAAGGAGCATGCTGAGTACAGGAGCTGCAGGCCTCCATTGTCGAGCAGTGGGGGGTCCAGAAGGGCGCAGGGTATGGGAAGCCTGGAGCCAGCCCCAGAGGATGGAGGCAATCCAAGGCAAATAGGCACACACCTTGAGGGCAAGGACCCTCAACATTCTGAACCTACCGTTTGGCTGGCATTTGCCCCAGCGCTTGTGACCAATCCTAGCCTCAGGAGGTGGTAAAATTTGTAAAGCCTCATGGAAGACATCACTGAAGTAACTGAGAAACTCTAGGAGCCTTTCCTGTGTGTCAGTAGCATGGAGATCAGCAGGTTCACTGTACTGCTCCTAGACCATGCACCCCCAAGGAAAACCAGGCTCCCCCCAGATAAAAGTCTGGTGGCTGTGTGGACGTGGTACCTGATTCTGACTCCTGTGCTACTGGACAGTGTGGCTACTAAATAGTGATGTCCTGGGAGATTGCAGAGGCCTAGAGGAACTGCCCTGGATCCAAGCCCCCTTCAGATGTCACCATTCCATGCTGTCTTCAGAGTCTCTGGCTTCCCCAAGCCATCAGCAAAGATTCCCCCTTCCCCTGAAGAGTGTCCACGTGACTTGTCTGCTTGAGCTGGGTGGAGTAGGAGAGCCCATCTCTGCATCTCAGGGCTTCTCTCCAAGAGCACGGTTATTACAGCATGCAGTAAGAAGCCAGACTGTCCACCCCATCGATGGAAGTGGCAGATGAAGTTGGGCTGAGAAGTTCAACAAGCAGCTGACATGGACGGAGCCCAGATGCACGCGGGTTAAAGGCTTTGCAGGAGGTTGGGTTTGGCAAGGGAAGGAACACTGTGAGGTGGAATCTTGGGATCTTGAGTTTTTAATGGGGAGGGGGGGGAGGTTCATCCAACCTGAGTATTAGCTGCACTGGGGCCTGCATCTTGTTCCCCAGTATTCTTCCCTTCCCTCCTTACAGACAGAGCCTTGGGTTTGCTGGACACAAACTTGGCCAAATGTCATTTGTTCTCCTTCCCTTCATACTGAGGTGGGTAGTTAAGGCATATAAAGGGTGGTATTGGGAGAAACCTGCTGGAAAGATCTTTAAGATTTATTATGTAAACACTGTTCTACCTGTATATATGCCTGCACACCAGAAGGGGGAACCAGATCTCATTGTAAATGGTTGTGAACCACCATGTGGTTGCTGGGAATTGAACTCGGGACCTTTGGAAGAGCAGCCAGTGCTTTTAAACCTTGAGCCATCTCTCCAGCCCTAGGAAAGATCCTTTTAAAGGAGGTCCAGCCGAGGTAAAGAGCACTCAAGACTTTCTGCTTTCTTCCTGCCTGAAACCTGAGTGTAATACTGGGAGGTTAGCAATCCCTCTTGACAGCATGGACATGAGGCCATGCAGACATGAGGATGGAGCAGAAAGGAGCCTGAGTGTGGGCAGATGGCAGCCCTGGACTACTCGCATCGCTTTTCCTCGCTGCTGTCAGGGCTTTCTGATAGGTTATGTGTGAATGCGTTATGTGTGTGCACTAGGAGTCCTCTCACTAGCAAGCTCTAGCAAACAAAGCTTATCATATGATCTCTCTGCCTGGATGTTGGGCATCAGATTTTCAGGTGAGTTTCATCTCGAGGTTGGCCTTGGTGATCAGGGTCACTGCCTGCCTTTTCTGAGGCAGGCTGTCCGCTCCTGGGCTAAGGTGGCAGCTCTGGCTAGCCTGTGACTCACTGCAGGCAGTCTGTGGGGCCATCAGCTGCCTGTCTTCCCTTCTGTGACCGTCCTACACACCTGAGGCCAGGGCTGCCTGGCCACCCTGCACCGTGGGAGGCGAAGCTGTGGACCGACACTGACAGTGCACATGGCAGGGGCTGCAGCACTGGCGGGGTCCTCACTGCTGCGCAGATGCTGTGCTGAGGGGTGCTTGTACCCCAGCCTTCTGTCCTTGGCCCAGACAAGCCCTGGGTCCAGCAGAAAGGACTCCTGGGCCCTTCCTAAAAAGAGAGCTTGCTGTGTGGACCAGGAGAGGACCAGGAGCTGGAGAGCCGAGGTGGCAGCAGTGATGTCAAGACCAAAGCCATCCCCTGGGTGGGAGATGTCCAAGGGTCAGGGAAGGCACGAGCAAATATCCTGCATGGGACTTGGAGACCTGGGCCAGGGACTTGGCAGTCCTGAAGCTGGAGTGTGAAGAGGGCCAGGCTTCACCCTTGGCAAAAGGCCCTGCCAGGTCACTTTGATACTGGGGAGTCCCTGGCAAACCACCCTAGGGCCGATTTGCTGTTCACCATCTGCCCACTAGGTGGCATTCATTCCTGGCTGGTCGGGACAGACCCAGTCCTTTCCAGAGGTAAAGAAGGCTGTCCAGGCTCGTGGGGCTACCCTTATGGTACCACAGACAGACTTAACTGTTAACACAGTGCTGGAGGGAGCTCTTCTTCCTGCAGGCCCAGAGAGAATCTGCTCTAGGCCTTGACCAGCTCCTGGAACTGCAGCAACTCCAACCTCTGACTTGCAGGCCTCCCTGCAGGCCTTACCCCAGGCTCTGCCTCTTCTTCATAACTTTGTCTTATGCCTTACCCACTGTTGGATTTGTGGTCCTCTGGGCAGTCTGGGATACGCCTGGTGTTTGTTTGTTTGTTTGTTTTAGAGGCAGGGTCTTACTGTCCTGGAACTTACCTTGTAGACCAGGCTGACCTTGAACTCAGAGATCCACCTGCCTCTGCCTCCCAGTGTGCCCAGCCTTGGAGTTAATTTTTATTATATGTTTTCTTCTGAGATCCGTTTCCAAGGTCACAGGCTGCCTTCAGACTTTGGAGGTGAGGATGTGATTGCATTTGTGGGGGGGGGCACCATCCACTCCACTGAGGACAAGGGACTTGGGGGAGGGGTCAGGTATACGTGTGCACACACCACACAAATACACAGAGGTGCGTGTACACCCCCACCCACACACTCACACTTGATGTTCAGAACGAAGGCTTCTGTTCCTTGAATTGACCAGTTCAGATACCTCCCAGAACAGGTTGGAGGTGAAGTCCTGGTATGTCTAGAGAGCCACTTTGGGGCATGAAGGCAGAATTATGGGGTGGAATTTTGCTCACATTTCATTGAATCGCAAGGCAGAGCCAGAGCCCCATTTTCTGGACTCATGGCCATATCCCATTACCACCCTGTTTGTGGAGTCCCATGGAGAAACCTGTGCCTGAGAGAGAATCAAGAAATGAGACTTGTTATGTGCTGTTAAAATAGATTCAAGTTTAATAATTTATGTTTTACTGTTAATACACAGGCCTATTTTTCTTTAAAAGCACTTGAGTATGCCAATCCCAGCTTACCCTGGGCCTCCCCTCCCACTCCTGTCCTCTTTCTGCCCTATGGTTTCCCACTAGGACCCTGGGATCTAAGCACCATCAAAGGCCCTTGTGGGCTGTCAGGCTTGAAGACCAGTCTGGGGTAAGTGGGGAGACAGTGGTTTACTCCTGACCCCAGCTCCGGGCCACACTTTCAATATGGTGAAAACCACGGTGAGACTCGTCCATGGCCCCTGCAGAGGGGGAGGGGGGACAAAGGCAGCTGAGTTGTTTTCAGAAGGGATAGGCCTGGAGGACACCAGGGCAAGGTTTAAAGTCACCCCAAGCTGCTCAGGAACTGTGGGGAGCACCTTCTCAGGCTCCCTGCCCTCTAGAGGGGGTGGCTCCAGGGCAGGAGGGAGGCCTGGGGTTAGAATTTGCCACACATGGCTCTTGGGCTCAGCTGCAGCCTTACCTGTACTTGTTAGCCTATGCTTCAGGCCAGAGGAGCCCATTGTGAATCCTACCCTCCACGGCAGGGATGCTTAGCACCTGCAGTGGCCAGCAAAGAGTAGCCCTACCGGGTAGGGAGGCTACGCAGAGCCTGTCCAGGCGGGTAGAAACCAGGAGCCCACACCCAGGCCCCTCCCAAGTACCGCCCTGTCCAGTTAAGGCTCGTGGCAGGGGACAGTTCTCCCTTAGTATGACACTGTGCAGACTGGCCACAGCTAGTGTCAGGCTCCAGGAACACCGCTGCTCAGATCTCCAAACTCAGACTCCCACTTGGGCCCACTCACCGGCTCTGTCTATGGGGTCTGAATCGAGGTCTTTGACGGAGGTTACTGTGCAGAAAGGGTTGGGCCCTGCTGCCCAAGTGTGTCCGAGGCCCACCACGATCTGTGGAGCTGATTCCAGGGAAGTTCGTTCTCTTGGGAAGCACCTGGATGGAACCCATGCCATGGTCCAAGACACTGTTCTGCATCCTTCTTGCCAGGGTGGCCTGAAGCCAGGCCCAGGCTGAGACCAAGGCTTGGAGTTTCTGACCTTGAGATACCATTTAGGCTGAAACTCTCCCTCCACCTTCACTTGGTTGCAGCTGTGATCACATAACATGGCTATGGCCAGCATCTTTCTGCAGAGGAGTCTGGCCCATCGCCCCAAGCCACACCCACACCAAGCCCCACCCTGGGTCTGAGAGTTTCCATTACACCCTAACTCTGACCAATGCCTAACCTAGCTAAGATGCCCAAAGGGTCAGGCTGGGTAGTTATGTATCTCGGAGCAGGTATTCTAACCTCTGAGCCTTCTGAAGAATTTGTGAGCTAATGTGCCAGTGAGGCTCAGTGGTGGCTCACAGGTGCATGGAGACAGCTGGGGAAGCATACCTTGATGACCCGCCCTCGGAAGGTGCTCTCATTCATCCCCACAGCAGCCTGAACAGAGCTCTGGGCCACAAACTCTATATATGCGTAGCTGGGGGAGGGTAGAGGCGGAGAGTGATGGGGCAGGAGAGAGGGGCAAGCCACACCCACACTGCCCAGCCTGCTGCAGCCCACACTGACCCCTTGGGGTGTCCAGAGAACTTGTCGCACAGGATGGTGACCCGGTGAATCTCCCCACAGGGGCTGAAGTAGGCCTCCAGCTCGGCAGCTGACCCTCCGTAATCCACCTGCTCTGAGAAAGGGCACCTGGCGTCAGTGCCGAGCTTTCTCTGTCTACTTCCCACTGAGGTGGTTGTGGCAGAAAGGGGTTGGAGGGTGCCCCGAGGCTGGTTGGCCCCTGGCTGGGAATAGGCTGAGGCTTTACTCCCTGCCTCCCAGGGCTGATTGCTGAGCGACAGTCAGGTGCTTCCTATGTGGACAGCTGGCTGTGTCCCATGTATTAGTGCATGCCAGGTGTGTGGCCCGTTGGAAGCAGTAAATCTCACAAACTCCCAAGTTCAGTTCATGCTGAGAAACCAGAATGCTTGGCCTCACCTTCAGCTGAATGGTCAAGGACTGGGCACAACTTGCCACCATGGGTTTTGCCCAGCCTTTCCTCTGCTGCAACTAGCACCAGACCATCCCCTTTTTCTGGCCTTGGAGACACAACACTTGACTTTACAACCCAAAGCCTCCCACCTCAAGCTCACAGCCAGCCCCATTCAGGGAAGGTATCAATGTGTCTGCCCAGCTGAATGCCCAAATTGGAGCTAGGCGCCACAGGAGGGCTGCGACCCCTCTCCCCGCTACTCACATTGCCCACATAGACAGATCTGTGGTCAGCCTCCACATTTTCCTTGGGGGTCCCAGGAAAGATGCGGCCTGTAGAGAGAGAACCTCAGGACCAGCAGGAGGACCTCATTGAGGATCCCATCTCTCATGACCCCATGGAAGGTCACCCAGGCTTCCAAAGTCACAGTGTGGATTTGCAAAGCCTCATGCCATGGGGCGATCCAGGGTGCTCCCTCAATAGTCCTCATATAGAGTCCATTCCAAGCACTTCTCCATTGAGAATAGATGGGGTTTAGTCTTAGCTGAGTGGTCAAGGACTCAGATGGACAGTTGTCCATCTGCCTTCTGGGGACAGAGTCAGTAAGGGTCCCAGGTTCCTACCCATGGTCCCAGGGCTTGGCAGCTGTCTGACCTCAGCCCCATCTTCCTCTATGGTCTTTCTCTGTATACAGGGTGGCTCTGGCAGGGCCTCAGCATGCTCCATGGCCCACAGCTTCAGCCTGATGGCTTCCAACTCCTGTTGGTCATCCCATAGTAAGCTTGGGATAAGTGGCCTGCAGGCCCTTCTATAATGGAGGGCAGGTGTGGCCACCGAACCCCAGCAGAAGAGCCCTGGTTATGAGGAGGTGACTAGACCACCCTGTTCTTGCTGTAGCCATAGTCCAGGCCTGAGGATGCCTCTCCCACCCAGGACACCCCCTAGTTAGACAGGCCCCATGGTTTGAAAGCATTAGCTTCTGTCATTGCACAAGGCAGCATTGGCCCTTTCACCTCCCAGTCAGCTGTGTCCCTCACCCCATGCCCAGGTCCACACCCGCCTCCATGGATCATGACAACGGGGTACTACCTGGTTGTATAGCGGGGACTTGGCCAGCTTCTCTGGCTCCAGCAAGGACAGCAGGAAGCCTGCATCTTCATTTTCCTCAGCTTCCTTGTCACTTTCCATTGTACTTCCAGTCCTTGGCACCAAAGGTGTCTTTTCATTCTCGCCCCAGGCCCCCCAACCTTGGGCCTCAGGATCTGAGGAGACCGTCTGGAGCCAGGCTTCGGTGGGGGGTTGGAAGAGATCATTGCTCAGGAAGGGCCACATGGGTATGCGAGGAGGACGGGCTGGCTGAACCTTGGCGCTTCAGGTCACCTCACCTCCACAGCTGCATCTGCCCTAGTGCTCTCCCTTTTAAGCCCTCCCCCTGACCAGCTGCTTCCACTAAAGCCCCAAAAGGCCTCCCACTTGGCCCGGGCTGTTGACCAGAGGGGTCAAAGGTTGTAGATCTCCTTTCTTTCCTCTTCACCAGCTGCACCCCCAAACTTGTCCACACTTAGAGAAGTGTGGACAAGTCCAGAGTGGGTAGGGCAGGGCCTTACTTACATGAGCTTGGCTATGCTGTGAGCTCACTAGCGTCTGCCTGTCTCTTGGTGTGTGCAGCATGCCTTGACCACGCCTCTGACAACAGGCTCTAATCAACGATCAGATCTTGGTCAATTACCTAATTGTAGTAGTGAAAAGGATAGAGTTGAGGAAGAGGTGGCCCTGTGGGTGTCTGGATACCCTTTGAGCAAGGGCCCCTGGAGGGATAACAGCTTAGGCCTGGGCTCACCCAGGGTAGGTTCCATACTTTGCCCTAACTGTGAGTTTCTCAGACTCTTCCCTCCCAACCTCCACTCAGGGTGCCTTTTAGATGGGAGCCTATTAAACTCAGGCACTATTTAGATGGTTCCTTTGCCACAAGGGAGGCTCAGGTTGTACTGTAGGAATTGGGTGATGGATACTTGGTGGATGCAGGCAGGTACAGCAGTTGGTGTCCAGCCCCGCTCGGCTGTTGCCCCTCTGCCCTCAGCTCCCAGGACTGCTGCCGGCCTGCATCCGTGGACCCCTTCCTGGGGCTTCCAGAAGAGGGGTGGATCTAAAGCGTATGGCTGGCTTTTGGCTAGACGTGGGCGTGAGATGCTCCTTGAGCCTTCTCTGCTGAGCCTCAGGGTCGGCGGTGCATGCTAACGGGACGCTAAGAAGTCCGCAGGGACTTCAGATGGCTCCACATCCTCGGCGTCACAGCCACACTTCCGCGACCCAGCCCCCCAGCTAGCCAATGGGGCCTCTCTGAGCGTCTGGGCTGGGCTGGGATATAGGCTTAGTCATCTACACTGCGTAAGTGGAGTTTGGTGGCTGACACCCCCCACCTCCTGGGGCTTAGGAGGCACAGGTGGGGCCAGGCAGCTGTGGCTGCTGGAGCCCCAGGAAATCGTGGGCTTCTGACTTCTCATGTACTCAAAAGTACATTCTCCAAAGCAGCTGAAAACTGTATCATGCTTCATATGACTGGTCATGCCTCTACTCAGTACTTGGGCTTCTGGGGCAGGAAGAGCACAAGTTCAAGGCCAGCTTGGACTCCAGCAACTCAACAGTAATAAAACCTGCTATGGCTTCCATGCCTCCTACGGGAAGGACTGTGTGGAAGAGTGACTACACGACCCCAGATAAAGTAGTGTGAACAGAGACTGAGTGGCCACTGGCCTCTCTCCAGTCTTGCTTCAGTTACTTCCCTTGGTCTTCCTGGCAGATCAGAGCTGCTTAGAGGTAGCATCCCCGCCTACATGGAGAACAAGCTGGCCACACAGGACAGGCTGGACAGGGATAGACCAGCGGTCACTGCTGTCCTCCTGCATGTCATCCTCCTCTTCCCGTGAAGCTCTGTTGGGGTCCCGCCCAAGTCTTCCCCTGCTTCCATGTGGGAGGCAGGACATGGCCAGCTGTGTCCAGGCCAAGACCATGTGGATAGAGCCCAGTCTCTGGCCAGTCCCCACTCTGAGCTCAGCTTCTGCAGTGGAAAAACCTTGTCACCCTCCTCCCCCTCGTGCTATCCTGAGATCGCTGACACACCAGGCCCAGTGGGGCTCCAGCCAGGCGCCTGGCCTAGGGACAGCTTACCCCCGTGCTGGCCTTCCCAACAATGCCTTCAAAAAATACACCATGTTCCAAGCTGGGACAGTATTAATGACAGTCGCTTCCTCCAGGCAGCTGCCAGTGCAGCCTGAAGCACTATGGCCAGTGTCTGGTTTTAGAGAGAGTCCCCTTTGGCTATGACACAGCTGCCTCAGGACCAGACAGAGAGATGGGTCTTTCTGCTATGCCACTCTGGGGTCCTCAGTGTCCTCAGGTCCTGAGTTTCCTCTCAGGTCTTAAGTATCCTTTTAGTGTTCCCTCAGATCCCGTGTCCCCTCAGGGCACCAGTGTCCCCCTGACCTTTAGTGTTTCCCTCAGCCATGCCCCACTGTCTCCCTCATATGGACCACTCAAAAAACTTGACCCCAGTGGTAAACCAGTTAGCCACAGGTCAGGCCCTTGAAACTCGGGGTCACTTTTGGGGTCCAAGATTTTCCAGAATTCCCTAAGGCCCAGCCTTCCAAGATGGACCCCATTTGCCAAGGATAAAGCAGCAGCACATGGAGCTGATATTCACCTCCTTTGTCTGCCCCAACCCTTTTCTGGTTCAACTGGACCACCACACCCACCCTTGTCTGTACATCAGGGCTTTCAACATGGCGGTCAGGTGTGCACAACAGTCTGGAGGAGCAGCCAAGCCATCATAGCAAATGCTCACTTTATTACACAGATGTAATTAACCTGATCACTGTGTCCATGGCCCACAGGGCAAACATATAAAGGACAGCAGAAGATAGCGGTGGGCGGCATGACATAGCACCCAGACACAGAGGGCTGTGGAACACAGCTTTTCATGAAGACAATATCCAACTCTCCTCCCAGCTCCTGCAGGGGGAAAAGCAATGGAAAAGCAACGGTCCACCCAGCAGGCAATGTGTGGCTGTGCTCTGGGCCTGACCCGTCCTTGGCCCACCCAAGATATGGTGTGAGCTGAGGGCTGTGGGGCCTTTTGTCTGAGTTGGGAGCAGGGGCTGTTGCCTTTGAGGATGTGATTTGATGAGTCGGCCATATTTTTAGTTAGATGCTGCATTCCTGTTTCCCAGTCTGGGATGCTCTCTAAGGGCCAGCCAAATTGAAGGGAAAGGAACAGAAAACAAGACAGAGTTTTGTAGAATTTGAGGACTTGTGCAAGTTGTTGACTGACTGTTTTGGGTTTGTCTGTGAGCTGTCTACAGGAAGAGATAGTTCCCCTGAGCCCAGCTCACCTCAAGTTTCTCTTCTTGTGAGCAAGATGACAACCCAGGGTTCTCTCCCCAGCATCATTTTAAAAAACCTCCCTACATGGTAGGAGCTTCAGGAAGAGCAATGAGTTATCAGGGGAGCCTGTGGGTGGCCTCAAACACACAGCAAACACTCCCTACCATCTGTGGATTTAACAGGGTCTGACTGGACATGTTCAACTCTGAGCTCCTTGGGGTCCTAAAAGAGAAGACGGGAATAGTGCCCAAGAGTCCCGAGGAACAGGGTCCCGAGAGCGCTCCTGTCTCAGGGGAGGCTTGAGCTTCTCTTCAGGGCAGGGCTGCGCCCCCTTTCAAGGAATGTGGTTACCTAACAGCCCCTCCAGAGCTCCTGAGCAGGTGTGTAGAGCTGCTCCCAACACACATTCTTGGCCCTTTCTCTCCCCAAGCAGGTCCAGATGTGTCACAGCTGCCATAAGGGTGCATCCAGTCTGTCCACAATGCCTGCAGTAGGGACTCATATCTCTGGAGGTGTCTGGATGCCATGGGAGGGCAGAGCGCCAAGGGGCTGTTGCCTCCTGGGTGGGTATTCTCAGGCCCTGAGCAGTTGAGGGCAAGCAGAGCGGAGGGCATTGGAGGACCTAGTGTCTTTGGTACACTGAGGGAGCTGATACTACGCTGAGTCCAGTGGGTAGAGAGATGACAGGAAAGATGGACCTAGGGAGGGTTGTGTGGGTGGGACTGGAAGACATACAGACACGAGGATGGTGGGGATGGTGGGTGGAGAGGCAGTTTGGAAGGAGTAGTATGGGAAAGGTGGACAGATGGATGAGCAGGTAGATGGATAGGATGGAGGGAGGTGGGTGGACAGATGGGGTTAGTCAGATGGAAGGGCAGGTGGAAGGAGATGAATGAGTGGAGATACAGGAAGATGGCTGGGGAAGTCAGAGAGATGAACTCAGGAAAGTGTCAATCTATCAGTGAGCTTAGGCTGAGGAGCAGAGTAATAGACAGATGGGTGCTGGAGATGCTGCTTTGGTGTCAGCCTAATGATTTATTTGGAGAAACTAAATGAGAACTCTGGAGCCCATCCTGATCGCTGCCCACGGCCCTACCTCCTATTCTTGTCCTTCTCTGTCATCACGACCCCTCAGGTCTTCTGACACATGTCCCTGTTGACTGAATCCCTCTGGACCCTCCAGTGAGGGCTGGCTCTTCTCACCTTGGCACCCGTCAGGCAGCAGGACCTGAGCTGTGATCTGGTCCAGCCTGTTCCTATGCATCCATGACCTCATGTGGAATGGGAGCCATTGGTCTCTGCTTCTGCACAGATCTGAGGTCTGAGACGGAGCAAATCCTCTTAGGCAGCCCTCAGGGAAAGGCCAATGTGGGCTTGGGGCAGGGCTGGGCAAGGGGCTGAGAAGAGGGGTGGGAAAGACAGGAAACATGACAAGAGGTCATAAGGTCAGGGGACAGGGGGCTGGGCCTTGGGGGTTGGAAAGTTCTGCCTGCTACCTGCCCTCTCCACTCAGCCTTCCTGGTTTAGCTTTGGCCTCAGAACAGGAAGTAAGGTTGCATTTTGATTTGGGGTTTGGGGAAGCAAGACTTTGTGAGAACCCACATCCCGTAGGGGTTTGGTTCATGTCTGGCTGTGGCTACCAGGAGGCAGGGCCTGGCAGTTGTTCCCAGGTCCGTGGTTTGTGACCTGGAGAAGGTAGCAGGATGGGCTCTCAGCAGGAGTCGGGGATGGAGTACCACCTTCCCCAGCTCTGTGTAGAGCCCCAGGCAGACTGTAGGTTGAAACCAAGGTCATACTGTGGTTACGGCCACCCAGGGTGTACCTCCCAATGAAGAACACCCATAGACCCTGTTCTCTCAAAGCTGTGAGGTTGTTTGGTTCTTCTGTGGGGTCTTTGGATGGCTGGAGCCTGAGCACAGCACCCACATTTTTGCCAGGGCCTTAGCACTTGGCTCAGTGTCTTCCTCCTTGTCTCGGACAACACTGATGACATCAGCCAGAACTCAGCAATACCCCTGGGGTTCCCATCTGCAGTTT